TACGCTGACAGATATTTACCCAAGGGTTTAGACTGAGAGAAACTCAGAATATGCATGTCTAGCTATACCATTTCCCTCAAGAAAGCCTGATTTCTGTAGGTAGGATTCATAAGAACACTCTGACACGAGGCAGACAGATACCACATTGCTTAGCAATGTATTTCCACATCGTGAGCTGATCCCTGACTCTCAAACCCCAGCAGAGATAATACCTGAAAGTAATTCACTAAGAGTCCCAAAGAAAAAGGGGGAAACCCTTGACAACCAACATTTATACTCAGAAAAATATATTTGAAATCATTTTTAGGAACCAGCATGTTATTATCTAAACTTTTTTTTTTTTGGTTTATCTAATGCAAACTTGGAGATCAAAGCACATTTGTCATATACATAGCACTGAACTGAGCCTGGGGATGCAGTCACTTGCTATGGACTTACAGCGTGTTCTCATCAATATAGTTGGAAGACTTGGTATTTACCCATTATACCCAAAATTATGCTTTCTTTTAACTTTTTCCCATTTGAGAGACAGAGCTGCAAACTGCTGGTTTAGTTCGCAAATGCCTACAACATCCAAGAGAAAACAGGAGCAGGGAACTTGATCTATATCTCCCATTGGGTGCAGAAAACTGATTACATGGGCCAGCATCATTATTTATAAGGGTCTTTATTAGCAGGAAGCTGGAGTCAGTGGTGACAGAACTGAATATTAAACTCAGGCATGCTAATAACAACCAACTTGCACTTCAAAAACTTTGCCAGACACCCATCCCACTCCCGCAGAATTATCCTTTCAAGGGTAATGCAGGGCCCGGCATGGTAGCCCAGCAGCTAAAATCCTCATCTTGCATGTGCTGGAATCCCGTATCGGTGCCAGTTCTATTTGCAGCAACCTCACTTCTGATCTAGCTCCCTGCTTGTGGCCTGGGAAAGCAGTAGAAGGTGGCCCAAAGCCTTCGGGAAAAAAGGGTAATGCATACTTAACCCATCGCCTAAGAGTAGTATGAACTAAAAAATCATTCTTCTTGTATTTAGTGACTAATCAAACTTGAAATATGAATTAAGTATTGTGTTGAATCTTAGACAAGACAGAGGTAGTCTCTGTCTACATGGACAAGGAAGATGCATTCAAGTAAATATCCTTTGAAGGAATACAGAAACACTTCCTACTAAAGCAAAAGAGGAGGCCTCTGCAATCAGGCTACTGTTTAGAGAACTCTTGTGTAAAGAGGAGGGTAAAGAAAGGTAATACATAGTTCCCAAAGCTCTCAAATATGGTTGCTTGGAAGTTAGAATAAAACACGTATGGATAAAATTTGGGCCTAAGGGTCATTGTAGAAAATATTGCTTTAAATCTTTTAATCCAGTGTATTATCAAAATGAATCTAAATTATTTTCTTGCTTGTTTCTTTTTTTAACTTTATCATCAAAAATGGAAGTGGAGGTGGGGTGTGGGTAGACACTGTGGCACAGCCACTTAAGCCTATACCGCAGCACCAACATCCAGTATGGGTTTCAACTCCAGACCCAGGTGTTCCACTTCCATTTCAGCTCCCTGCTGATGCACTTGAGAAAGCAGTGGTGGTTGGCCCAAGGGCTTGGGCATATGCATCAATGTGGGAGATCTGAATGAAACTCCAGACTTCAACCTCTCTCTCTCTCTCCCTCCCTCCCTCCCTCCTCTCTCCTCTCTCTCTCCTCTCTCTCTCCCTCTCTCCCTTATCTCTCCACCCCCTCTTCCTCCTCTGCCTTCTCTCCCCTTTTCCATTTCCCCTTTTTTGTCTACCTCCCTCCTTCCCTCCTGTCTCTCCTTCTCTCAGTAACTCTGCCTTTCAAATAAATAAAAATCTTTTTTAAAACGGATAAAGGATTAGGGAGAAGCAGTCTGGGAGCTTTTTCTAAAAACTTGTGTCAGGAATCTTGAAAAAGAAAGTATTCATGTAGATATAATTATGGTGAAGATCCAAGAATAAACGGAACATTAATTCATTCAACTAGCATGAATTGAGCACCTGCTATATGCCAAGTACTATGCTAGTCACTGGGCGTGTAGTAAGAAAAGAATGGTGTGTCCCTGTCCTCACAGAGCATATAAAATAAAAGGATCTTTTTTTCCCCTGACATGCATTTACTAAAGAATTGCTGCAAACTAGATTATGAGTACTCATACAGCAGATGGCATTTTCTGCCCATCTGGGATGGTTCTAAAGAATAAGCCCTCATGTATCAGTAGATAAGGTTTCTTCCAGTTCTGAGCTTTCATGATCGGTGATCTAATAGTGGAAACAGGATGTCTGCTCCCAAGAATATGTTATCCTTGTGTTACTCTTTATGAAAGGGAGCAGAGAGGGCCTGTTAATTCAGAGGAAAGTGTGTTCCCCTTGTGCCTCTGTTTGTGCCCCATTAGCTCTTGCTTGCCAAACCACCTTCCAAAGCTCACTCTAAGCTTCTTTATTCTCAGTTCCCTTTACTTCCTTTAACAGCTGAGAAAAACCAGTTGTCTCTGCTTGGCAATACAAGAATGTCCAGTTGAAGGCTTCACTGTCAGGTCAATCTTCTCATGTTTCAAATGAATGGATACACACCTACACCACTCCTCTTCTTTCTGATTGCCATATCTCCAAGGACAATAGTCTCTTTCTCCCAGTCTTCCATATTTGAAATCTAGTAGCTGCCCTCTACCTCCTCAAAAATTAATCTTCATCCCCAAATTGGCTAGGTCTTCCTTTCAAAATACCTAGTATGTAATTGCTTTTGCATTCCAGGCAGAGTTCTCACAGTTTCTAGCACATCATTATAGTTAACTCCAACAGCCGCTAGCTGGTTTCAGCCTTAGGATCCTGTTAAAATCTGTTTTGTGCCACACTGACAGCATCATCTTTCTAAAACCCAAATTTCCTATAAAATAGTGAGTCATCCCACAGAAACCATTAGTGCTTTCCTTGACTTATGGAGTAAAGCCTGCATTTGCAACATCTAGTTTCGCATCATCTGCCTCCTAAGGAGCCTGAGTAACTAGTAACTCTACCCTGCTATCCTCCTCAGCCCCATTGTACTGCTGCCCAGGCATTCCCTGGCCTGAGCATGTCACTACTCCTCCCCTCCAAACTTTTGCACATTTAGAAAGATCAGGGGCCACAGCACTGTATCATGCCTATCCCTTTCCGTATTAGCAAATACTTACAAAGTGAGCAACCCAAGTAAAGAACTGATTGTGCCAAGTGCATGGTACTGATTTATAGTTTTTCTTATTCTTTCTGATTTGTGTGTGCCTCCTTATGTTGATTAAAGACATAACTGCTTATACATAGGATCTCTTGATTCAACAAGTTTATCAAGCATTGCCTTGCATAATTGCTTGCAGAATAGCGCTTTGTGCTTAAGCAGCTATTGCTGGGCAGGACCTGGCCTGCCTTTGGGTCTTTCTGTCTTTTAAAATTATTCTTTTATGGGACCAGTGTGGTGGCATAACAGGCTAATGCTATGCCTGTAGTGCCGGCATCCTGTATGAGCACTGATTATAGACCAGTCGCTTTACTTCTGATCCAGCTTTCTGCTTATGAACCTGGTAAGGCAACAGAGGACAGTTCAAGGTCTTGATCCCTTGCACCCACGTGGGAGACCCGGAAAGAAGCTCCTGACTCTTGGCTTTGGATCAGCTCAGCTCCAGCTATTGCACTAATTTGGGGAATAAACCAGCAGATCTTTCTCCTTCCTGTCTCTCCTTCTCTCTGTAAATTTGCCTTTCAAACAAAAATGCATACAGCTTTAAAACAATTATTTTTTATATAGTCAATTATTTACTGCAGCTACACAATGGCATTGTCTAACATAATTCGTGAAAGAAAAGTGTTGTGCTCAAGCTTCAGTTACTTTAATGCATTCACCAAATATTTCATTCCAGTATTTTATGTGTTTATTTGAGAGAGAGCTTCTATCTGCTATTTCACTCCCCACAGTCCTGCAACATCCTAGGCAGGACCAGGCCAACGCTAGGAGTTAGAAACTCAGCTCAGGTCTCCCACAGGAAAGATTGTTCTGGATGTTCACTGGGCACTTCAATGAATATTAGAAGATCAGCACTGAGAGCAGACAGGCCACCCGAACCACTTTTCTGATGAGGCTCAGATCACATTCACCTCCTGGGGATTTTCCACACCATGGGAACTGATCTCCCTGAATTCTGGTGATTCTGACACAATCTGTATTCACAATGGAATCAAGACTCAGTGTTCCAGAGCTAGCATGCCAGGCAGCACCACAGATACTGAGTTAGCAAATGCCAGGCGACAACATGTGCCTTTTCACCCATAAAATTTGTTTATTCACCAAGAGTGGAATTCACTAACGTAAGAGGACACTACTTTAATTTATTCACAAACATAAAATTATTTTTATCCCATATAGTGTAAAGGTATATTTCGCAGTAATTTCCAAGTCCACTGAAATCTGGAATCTGAACATTTCTTTCATTTCAGTATCCAAACTTTAATAGTCCACATGTACCCACACTTTAATAGCCCACATTTAAACATTGTTTTTATTTCTTTGATATTCAACTATTTGTTGACTATTCATTACCAGTAAGTATCACTCAAAGAATCATTAATTATTGAACAAGATTAATTACAAAAAATGTAAAAATAGCAGTCTCACTTTGGTCACGTAATACCAAATAGCCATATCACTAACCTTTTTCTAAAAGATTTATTTTAGACTTTGTTATGATTCCAGTTGAGGCAATAGTTCCTTTATCGTTGCCAATGCGTGTTAAAAACACCATTGTAATATTTTCAAGAAAGGATGCTTCTATTTGATTAAAAAAAATGAATCTTACAGACTGGATATGGTAATTGCGTGTTAAACCCTGGGTTCTGAATTGTTGCTTTAGTGTTCTCAGCCTTAGAGACCCAAAAGATGTTCCCCAAAATGATACATTGTTTGAATTGTTCTTTCTTGTCTGTGACAAGAGGACATCATTTCTCTCCTTTGCCTCCCAGGTGGCCGTGGAGGATCGCATCAGGCAGCTGCATGAAGCCCACAGGGACTTCGGGCCAGCGTCCCAGCACTTCCTTTCCAGTAAGTCATTGCAGCTTTCAGTTTAAACTTTTCTCTATATCTCTATAGCTGAGAATGAAGACTTAAATTGCGGTAATCTCTGCCAGAGGCATGGATGCATAAATCATTCTACACTATAACTAGCATGATGAAGTCAGAAGGCAGGAAAGAGCCAGGACCAATTAGATGATTTTCTTCTAGTCTTGAGATAATGTTTAGTTGTTTCCTGAAGCATATTCACCAGTGCTAATTTAATTAATATTTTCAATCCACATACCTGCCTTTATCAGTTCACTTCATAAAGCTGGTAATTATCATATCATGTTAGTATGATCATCCTGTGTGTTCTTGCAAATCTTTAATTTTTTATCTCTATATAGTTCATGGAATACTCCCTGAGTACAGGTTGGAGGCTTGGCAGAACAATTCCTTATTTTTGTCTTTTAGCCTTGACTACTTTATTGGCTGTATTTTATAGCCATATTAGTTATATACGTAGAGAGTTTTTATATGTTATGTATTTTATTCTTGATCGTTTTTCCGTGACTTTTAAACTTGTGTTTACTTACTTGTATTTGAAAGGCAAAGAGACAGGGAGAGTTCTTTCACCCATTGCTTGTATTCCCCAGATGCCTGCAGTACCCAGGATTGGGCCAGGCTGAATCCAGATATCAGCAATCTGAATCTTACATGCAGGTGACAGGAACCCAAAAATCGGGGCCATCTTGCACTGCCTCCCAGGTGTGCATTGGCAGGCAACTAGGATCAGAAGTACAGCTGGGAGTTGAACACAAGCCCTCTGATAAGGAATGTGAGCTTCCCCATGGCTGTGCCACATGCCTGGCCTTTTGTGTTTTGTAATACATACTGAGATACAGGTTCCTTAACTAAAACTTTCGATATTGGAATATACAAAATATAACAATGAATCCTGGTTTGGCAAGCACCTCTTTGCTCTGATGAATGTTGTTTATGTATAACACTCTTTCATTGATTATGAAAGTTGAAATGTCTAGCATTTAAAAAGTCATACTTCTACATCGAATTAACATCCATTCGCTTTTCGGTGCATTTCTTCCTGGTCATGCATGAGCCTGTATGAAGGTCTAACCATTACTTTAAGGCAATTACTTTGTGCTTGTTCATGTTATAAACATTAACTGCCTCAATCTTTATAGCAACTCCATGAGGAAGACACCATTATCATACTCTTTTTGATGAGGAGGGAGTGGGGGAATACATTAGTTTCAAACCCAATGTTAATAACTAGCCTGTACCATTACCTTATTTATATATTTCATAGTAAAGAAGGAATTCTGTTTGTTCTCTCTTTATTCTTCTACTGCATTCTTTTATTGCCACTTTCTGGTCCTTTCCTTTCTTTTCCATTCTTCAAGCATTAATAGAAAGATTTGAACTCATAGACATTTTAAGATATCTGATTAGAGCCTTCCATGCACATCTTTAGTGGTCATTATCTTTTCGAAATTTTTTTTCTCAAAGGTATTGATCCTGTCTTTTGTTATGCGATTGATCCTAACCTATTGGCTACCTGCAGTCCAGTTATGTAGATGGTATCAGACATGCATATGGGTAGCTCGAGTAGCTTTAAAGAGGGGAGAGTGAATTAAAATTATACCTAAATAATGGGGGTGGTAACTTTGAGGAAAGGCTCTAGATAAGTTATAAAGGCTGCAGATTTTGTTTTCTGTACATTCCCAAAACTCTGGTCTACCTAACTTGTCTTGGTGACAGCCATTCCATTTGATTTAATTGAGATTAAATGTGAGAACATACTCCTAAGTGACTCATAAACCATAAATAATAATATGACTATTGTGAATATTAATAACTCCTCAGACACTGTGCATATCCATTCATACTTTCTTCTCTCTGTCTCCCTCCTCCCTGAATCCCATGTCTTCCCCATTAAAACCTATTCCCAGAAAATGATATGTTATACTCATTTAACCCGGGCATGACAGGCAAAGTTTAATTTGTACTCCTTGTAGGTTATTTGCATTTTAATAGGGTAAAAATCCATAAGCCTGAGGAATGGCTCTCAGGTGGCAGAACATCAGCCATGAGCACAGAGCTATGAGGGAAGAGCTTGGAGGGTCCAGGTGGAACAGCCTGACACCTTTCACCCACTTCCAGAAAGCTCAGGCCTAGATACACAGGCACTGCTGAGGAGATTGATTAGCATGCATGAATGGAGCCAGTCCTGCAAGTCTTAGATACTCATATGGAGTCACGATGTATGCGCAGAAGCTTTGCTTTTGGCTATATAATAAGGATTTTTCCTAAAGGATGCTAAAAAAAAATAGAGTAGGGAGGCTAATAGGACAATGAGGTTAATTGATGAATAGTGTCTGTATGTTTTCCTCTTTGAAATTACAAAGGCAATACATGCTCATCAAACAGTACAAACAGAAGAAGAAACATTATCCATAATCTTCCCACTCAAAAATATGTTTCTGTCTTCTCCCAGGGTAAATGTTTGTGTTTATGTGTATTCAGCTTCCCTTTTTTCTTTTCAAGCAGGCAGGGGTAAAAACATGTTATAACCTTATGACCTGCTTTTTCACCCAAAAACTATGTTGCAATATTTTATGTATTTAAATATTTTTCTAAACACTACTTTCTTGAAATGGCTGGCTAGTAATCTATTCTATATACCACATCTACCAAGACAGAGCTGAATTGCTCAAAAGTAACAATGTTTCAAACTTGTTCACTATTATATCCAACACCTTGTACATTTTGTGTACTTTATTAAACATCTCAAAGACTTCCTATAAGACTTTGACACTTGGAAATTACAAAGAGGGTTGAGCATTTAACGTAGTGCTTAATGAGGCTGTTATGAAGAGCCACGTCTTCCCTTGGAGTGTCTGGGTTGGCTCCCTGACTCCAGCTCCTGGCTCAAGCTTCCCAGTAATGTAAATCCTGCTCGGAGGCAGAGATGCACTAAGTGATTGAATTCCTGCTTTCCATGTGTGAAACCTGGATTGGATTCATGGCTCCCAGCTTCAGCCTGGCCCAATCCCAGCAACTGACAGGTGAAAAAGCTCTGTATGTGTATGTGTGTGTATCTACTCTGTGTTTCTAAAATACACACTTTTTAATGTACAAGGCCTATAAAGAAAAGCAAATTTAAAATGAGCCACTAACTTAGACCCCAAACAACACATATTTATCCTCTCTCTCTCACACACACACATGCACATACACACACTCCTCTTTGAAAATTGTGTTACCAGCTGTCTTTTTATTGAAAGAAGGCAGAAACCTTTTGTTTTTTTAAGTTTTTGCTATTTTTTAATGAACCAATCTCTACTTGTTACAGAAGTTAATTCCTTTATCTTCAATCTGAAAGAATGTGAAATGAAAACATTGTAAAATATGAACTTTCTACATTGATAGACATTATTTACTTTTAATTCTAGTTTCAATATGCTATTATTCCTAATTGACTTCTGAAACTTAAAGCAAATAAAGGAGAAAGCCTGTGCATGATTTTTTAAAGTTTTGTATATACACACACATATAAAACATATATATATACTATAAAGTCATTTAAAACTTACTATTAAAATTATTTTAAAATCGTACAGTGGTAGGTACAGTGCTGCTTTCTTTATATGCCAGTGATCAAGAAGATACTAAAAATATATAAAATTTTAAAATTAAAGAAGAAAATATTATGGTTTGCATTGATTGACATAATAATCTAAATATTATCCCTCTTTTGTTATTTTCAAGAATTTAATAACTTTTTTCTGCCCCTTTTCTCAATTCTCTAGAAATTTGCTCTGAATTTTACTTTTCTCACTAGGGAGAATTACTATACATGTGTATTTTGGTAAAAGTAGAAATATTTTGTAACAGTTAAAAAGAACCAGTGGTTTACTTAATATCTTATAAGTTCTAGAATTCGCTAAATGAGTATTTTCCAAGCCAAGTTCCTCAGAACACTTGTGCTTCCATTTGAGCTTGATTACTATTCTTTGAAACAAATAGTTGAAAATCAATAAAAGTTGGAAAAACATTAGATTGTAAAGATGAGCAGGTCTCTTCGTTGTTGGAGTTCTGAATGCCTCTAGTACGCACGTACACTCTTAGGGCAGGATGAAGAATCTGCAGCTCTTTTCCATGCTTGTGTGACTGTGGAGCCCTTTTTCAGACACATCCAAACCGTGTCTCACTAAAGCATATCATGGAACACAGTGAGTTTCTCTTAGAGTGTATTATTTCCCAAGTGGTTCCCATGACAAGATTTTTCTACTGAAAGTAGTCTTACCGTGATCCAATTAAAAGGAAAAAGAAGTGTGGGCATTGTGGCACAGCAGGATCTACTGCCACTTGTGTTGCTTATATCCCATATGTGGATGCTGGTGCAAGTCCTGGCTCCTGCTGTTGCAACATAGGACACATCAGACACTAGTTCATGTGCTCGGACCTTGGCCACCCTTGTGGGAGACCTGGGCAGAGTTCAGGTCTCCAGCCTGGCCCAGCCTTTGCTAATACATGCATTTGGGAATGATTCGGTGAGTGGAAGAGGTATTTCTCTGTCTTAGGCACTCTGTCAAGTAGATAGAAATGGACACTGTTTACATAAAGGGAAAATGAATATAAGCCAGAAACCAACTTAATATCTGTTAGAAGCTTTCAAACCATGAAATGTGGCTCATTAGTCAATCTTGTGATCATTTAGTAAACTAAAACCCACAATTTTCAGTTTATTTGTTTTACATTTATGTATTTATTTAAGAGGGAGGGAGAGAGAATCAACGTTAGCAGGAAAATGGAGTCAGTCATTACCACCAACAAGTGTAGCATGTGAGCATCTGAAGTGAGATCTTCAAGACCAAATACCCAACCCTGACCAATTTTAGTGGAATGCAATACATTAGAAAACTAGAAAATATCAGCATATTGAGCTGCTGCCTACAATTCTGGCAATCCATATGGTCAACAGTACAAGTCCTGGTCACATCAATTCGGATCCGGCTCCTTGC